AACTGTAACTCCAGTTCCAGGGGATCCAATGCCCTCTTCTGACCTCTGCCGGTATTACACAACATGAGTATGCTTACATACGTGCAGGCAATACACTCATACACATAAAAATAATAAATCAAATATCTTTGAAAAAATTTAAAATAATATTATATATGGCATGAAAGTAGAATATGGGTTATTTGGGAAGAAGGGGGGATTAGTAGAGGGGGCACAGGAGAGTAATGGGGTGGATATGGTCTTAATACATAATACATTTTAATGAAAAGATCTCATTATAAAGTGATCACTTTGATGACCATAAACTGATAAAAAAAAAAATTAAGAGTAACTAGCAGGTAGATAGTTTCCTGTTTGTAAGTTGATGGTTAGCTACCGAAAAGCTTGTTTTGAGAATTCATTTGGTAAAGATTGATGTTCACAAGCCAAAGAGTATGTTTGAAAAACCTACTTGGTTGCTCAGAGTGGCCATTGGGGTTTTGGCAATAGCTAGTCAGTGGTTTGGGTCGAGTATGTTGTCATTTGTTGGGCTTAGAAGGTGAGGAGTCCCAAAACCCTTTTTCATTTCGCTCTTGCAGAGCTGAGCGATTTTCCATTGTTTTTCTTGCAGATAACACTGTTTCCCTTACCTACCATGGAACAGATCTTAAAGAAAATGAGCATTCCTGGTGTGGGGTTAGAGAATAGGCACTGAACGATAGGCATCCCTCTGAGGAGAGATTTCTGAGGAAGAGAAATCTACATGTATGTGATGGTAAGGCCTTAAAGTTTAGGAAGTTGTGGAACAGTATCGTCAAAATGAGGGGTAGAAATCTGAGAGAGCTTGTTTGTAGCTGTCAGCAGTGGGCCAGAGATGAAGGAGCCAGGTTTCCTGTCTGCACATCTACTGTGCTTCTCTTAAATCCCAAAATTCAGTTTGTGAAAGAACAATCCATTTGTGCTTTTTTTTTTTTCTGATTCGATTAAAATCAAATCAAAGTAAATGTGGTAGGTATGGGAATGGCTTCTATAGACACAGAAGTGGGGATGTTTAATGTACAAAAGATAAGGCAATCTAAACACCAAGTCCTCAGTGTTATAGGGTTCCTGATCTCTCATGCATGTGTTTATGCTCTCTGGGATGTATTGCTATTAACAATTCTCCAAATATCTTCGCTGGGAAACGTAATAACATCAATATGTTTTTACTCAGGGGAGAGAATAGACAACATAGTGTATGGGGTTGGATAGATGGTTCAGGGGTTAAGAGCACTGGCTGCTCTTGAAGAAGACACAGGTTCCATTCCCAACACCGACATGGTGGTTAGCAACCATTCATAACTCCAGCTTCAGGGCCTCTGATACCATGTTCTCTTCTTCAACAACATTACACACATGGCTGTGCTTACATACATGCAGGCAAAGCACATGTATACAGCATTTAATTTTTTTAATTTAAAAAAGTAACATACAGTGCTAGTGCTCAAACCCAGGGTTTTATACACGCAGCTAGGACCCAACCAACTGTGCTGCAGCCTCACCCTCCCAAAGTTATCTTTTTGTTACTAGATTTAAGGTGCTCTAATAAATACTGTGAAAAATTATGTTCTGTCTGAATCAGTAAGTGTGAAAGAAGATGACATAGGAAACAGAAGTCACAGTGGGAAAAATTCTTGTTTTTAATATTCTGAAATACATAAGGTGTCACTCAGTCTTAGGTAAGCAGAACAAGGAATTTTCCAGGAATGAATGTTTTGATTTAATTTAATTAGTAATTAATGAAATTAATTGGATTGATTTAATTTAGTTAATAATTAACAAAATTAATCTAATTTAATTAATTAATAGACTGGTTTGTTAGTTTTCCATACCCGAACTATTTAAAAAAATGTAACAGAGGAAACCCTCCATCAAGGATACATTTTCTTTTGAAAACTGGAAAAAATACACTAAAAACACTACAACATAAAAAACTACCCTAAGATCATAATGAATTTCTAAAAATTCATTTGTCTAAAGAAATGATAAATGAATCATATTTAATAAGAATTTATCTTCCTGGAAATATCTTGTTGCAATCAAATTCAGTGAATCTTATCTGATTTTACTTACTTTTTAAAATGGCTGTAAATAATATAATAAACCTGCACATTTGACACAGCCACATACTACTTGATTTAACAAACATGGGCCATAGCTTAAGTTAAGCTTTTCTAAGTAACCTTTGGGGGATGTCTGTGAACACACCATTTACATGGTGAAGCCTGAAAGGGTGTCATTTTTTAAAAATCAGTCCATTGAGAGAAGGAGATAGGGAAAGAGGAAGGAGAGGGGAAGAGGGGTCA